CCTTGCACCTGTCTCCCCCTCCCTCCAGCCCACACTCTCTCCCAAAGCCTGAGAGACCCTGAATATCCCAGCCATCACCACCAAGGCCAGTGAGCCCTTTGTCAGGGAGCCAGGAAGGAAAATGGAAAGTGAAATTCCTTGTCTGTTGTTTCTAAAAGTGAAGGAAGTAGGGAACAAGAGAGAGGAGGTCAACACAAGGACTGACTCATACGCACACACACGCACGCACGCACGCACGCACACACACACGGGCCCAGAAGAGCTGATGGGGCAAGGGATTCTGGGAACAAAGGGCCATGCCCATCTCTTCCAGAATCGTGTGCTCACAGAAGGGAGGGAGAAACGCAACAGGGGAGAAGGAACCTGGGCCCCTGACGACGTTGCTGGCCCGGTGACCACAGTAGCCTCCTGCAGCAACAGCCTCCAGTAAATCCCCCAGTGCATCAGGCATTCTGAATTGTTTTCCACCTTCGACAGCATGAAGTGTCGCTGAAGTGGGGGAGGGGCAGCGCACAAGCACTGAAGGAACGACACAGCAGTTGAGGGCAGGATGCAAGCTAGTTAGAACCAAGATGGCGCAAGATTTGACCTCCAGTTGACCTTGAGCCTCATGGCTCGCCCACAGGTGCCATGACTGTTCCTAGGTTGACCGTAAATGGTCAAAAGTAGGGGGGCCACTTCCTGGAAATCCTCGCCCCTTTCCCTCAGCAGTAGGAATAATCCTCGTTGGCACATGAAATTACCGAGCCCATAAAACCTAACAGCTCCACACCCTGCGGTCACTCTCTTGCCTCCTGAGATGGCCTGCACTCTGTCTACAGTGTGGAGTTTCTACTTCTCTTTTACTTTAAACTGAACAGCCCATGCGCCTCGGCTTCCCTCCCTCTCCCCTCTCCGAGGCGGCCCGCACGCCGTTTGTGGAGCGTGCATCTCCAAGCCACTCTCCCCGCTCAGTGAGTCGGCCCGCTCCCTGTCCACGCAGTGCGCATCTCTCCACACAAGCTGGCTTTCCCTGTCCCGTGCCTTGCTCCTGAATTCTTTCCTGCGCGAGGCGAGAACCTCTTCTCCCACAACATCGTGACTGATGTGTCCGATTCAACCTGTGTGAAGATGTAAGTATCGTCATGAGAGACAAAAGACTTTGGTTTAAATGATGGCCCTGCAACTTTCCAGCCGCTTCCTAGAAGCTGGCCTTATATGTGTGTGAACCGACCCAAATGTTGGCCTAACCTAGACACGGAGCTTTTAAATAAAGGCTGTGAAAGCACATCAAAGTCTCTGGCCCCTATCCGAGGACCCACTGCCCATCAGGTCACATTGCCGTCACCCTGCGCAGTGTGAGGGACAGCCCCAGCGCGGTCTCGCTCATCCCCTGTCCCCCGTCACCGCAGCCCGCACGAGCATCCCTCAGAGCAAAACTGCAGGAAAGAAGGACGGAAAAGGGTGAGGAGCCCCAGAATGAATTTCCAAATCTCTGAGAGGCTTCTCAGCCCTGCAAGAGTTCTGTGGAGCCACCAAAGGCAGTGAGTGGTGCCATCTGATTTACAAGGAGCCTGAAGCCAGTGATGAGCCCCCCAGGAGGGGTTGGAGCCCCCCAAGTGCTTAGAGAGCCTGCCCCCTCCTGCCCCACGGCCACCCTGACGTGGTCTGCAATTAGCAACACCGTGTCCGTGACCCGAGTCGATCTCATCCCTTCTGATGACAAGCACGAGCTGTCGCCACTGCCAGATGATAAGCGCGGAGTCACGGAGTAAGAGGAGAGAGCCAGAGGCGGTCGCCTCGCTCGGGAGGGCAGAGCTCCCGCCACTGCGTCCTCGCGGGGGGCAGCCCGCGGCTGTGGTGCCCCCGGAGGGCGGCGGAGGCCAGCGCTCTTGTACATCAATCGTCAATCTTTTATGGAACCCCATAAACCAGAAAACTCTCTTCTACGGAGGCAGATGTCATGGTTCTTCCCGCAGACGCCTGCGGAGAACGCTCAAGCCGGGAACTGGGACTTTTTTTTTCTTTACTTTCTGGTTCTTTTTGTCTTCAGTTCATATCCACTTAACTTCACAAGAATGACTGCTCTTGCTGCTACTACTGTTTCTAAACACAATACAGATGTAACTCCAGCAATAAAATAATAATTATAATTAAAATTTTAAAAACTCGACCCTCTGTGGGCGTCCCGCTCTGGGCAGGGCACAGAGGTGCACGTGTGCTCGGCCGCAGGACACCTGCCTCCCTGCACAGACCCACCGCCTGCCGGCCACCCGCCTCACACCCCAGCGCCTCACTTACCTCACGACAGCCTTGGGAGCTGGGTGTTCATATTCCCACTTCCCAAACAAGAAGCTGATCGCTTGGAATCTAGGCCAGCGACCTGCCCAAGGTCCCAGCCCTGGGCTAGACTGCAGGCAGCACCCGGTCCAAGGTCGTCCTGGAGACTGTCCGGGCAAAAGTCTTTTGATCTGAGGTGCCCTCAGGCTTTTTAGCAGCGGAGCCTGGCCTGGTTCCTCCACCTTGTGGCTCCCCCTCCAGGAATCCTTCCTTTACCTTTGCCTCCTTAAACTCAGGGTACCTGGATTCCCGCCTTGGCCTCACTAAGATGCTATTTTGGTATAATCTTCCCTACGATGTTGCCATCTGAGACAGGGGCTGGTTTTTGAAAAATAAAATATGATAAGAGAATCATGAAGAGACTTTACTGAAGCAAAAAAAAAGTTGCAAATACCATATAGCAAAATGTGAACAGTGAAATCTATCTGAGTGTTCACTATATACAGTTCTTCCCCGTTTCTGTGCGGTTGAATAGTTTCAAATAAAATGTGAAGGGGAAAACAATGTTGCAAAAGGCCCCAGAGGTACATGAATATTCAGAGCATCCCCTTTATAGTATCTGAGAGTGAGAAAAAGAAAGATTATTGCACGTGGCCCAGATCCATGTGTACAAGGAACCCCTCCAGAAGGGCTGTCCCATGGCTGCTGTGCGGTCCAGCATTCAGACGGTTCCAGAATGCCATGGGGTCCTGCCATCCAGCCTTGCTCTGCTTCCAAGACCGTAAGTACTTTGCCTAAAAGGCCCTGGGTGGCGTGGTACCCCCACTGTGGCCAAGGGCGTCACAAACACCCATCACTGAGAAAAGGATAACCCGGTAGCGTCTGGCCGGTGGAAGCAGCCCTTCCAGAGCCCGCACTCATGGACACCATCGCATGTTGGAGGCAGGACATCCCAGCATCTCTTCATCTTCCAAGCTGCACACTGGTTTCATTTTCTCTTCCAGAACCACGGTCTGACTTACGTTCTCATCAGAGGGGTTTGGAGGGCTTCCCCTCAGTAGCAAAGCTTTATTAGCAAAGTGTCCTCTCCTGGGAGATCCCGGAAATGACATGGCTCAGAGGCAAACTATCTCTGAACAGCTCTATTTCCAATCCTTCCTCTGTATATCACCGTTACAGGAAAACGTGCCTGACTCTCATTCAATTGTGGAACAAGCCCTCTCCTTGCACTGACGGTAAAATGGAGATCTAGGTTCTTTGGTGAATTACTCCCAGGACGACATAGGGTCTCAATGTGAGTCCCTGAGTGTCCTACAGACCACTCTGGCCCTTGTCGAATTTTCGGTCACCAGTGCTCCATCCCCTCGTACCTGTGTGTTCTTCCCTGGAGCTTTCTGGAAAGCTCAGACTAGGTGGAAGAGCTGTAAGAAACTGTTCAGGTCCCCATCTTCCTCATCATTACTGTTTCAATTACTACTTCTCTGCGAATACAATCACTTCAGAAGCAGCCCAGGGACCAAAGAATTTTGCTTTTGTCTCGTTCCCCAAAGAAATCTTAAATGTGGCTTTTACAGAAAGCCTTCACTTCCCCGTGCCTCCGCCCAAACTTTGAAAGGGGCGAGAAGAGCTCAGTGCGTAGGAAGCAGACCACGAGGAGCCGTGGGGTGACGACTAGTGGGAGCAGGTGACACAGGGGTGCCCAGCCCCCAGGAGTTCGGTGCCGGGCCTTCCCCAAACTGTGAACACTGGCACCCCTGGTTTAAATGAAAACAGACTGAAAAAGGAGGAAAAGGAGTCTAGGGACAACGTTCCAAACAGGGACCTATCCCCGAGCAGGGGCTGCAGAGCTCAGAGGTCGAGGGGGCCGTGGCCCTGGGCTCAGAGGTTCGTCCAGCCTGAAAGGAGTCATTGCAGGAGCACAGGGGAAAGAGCCCGCGCCGTGCAGACACACGCCGCGCCCGGAGGGGTTTGCTCTCTGATACTTCCCAGTTCTTGCAGGAGTCGGGTCTCTCCGCAAAGCCATATAACGCGGACTTCTGGATTTCCCAGCACCCAGCAAAGGGCAGGAAAGAGAACAGGCACCCACTGAATCATTGCTGGAGGACAACTGAAGTACAAATATGGTTCCCAAGGTCACCTTCAGCCCTCCTAGGAGATGAGATTGGATGACAAGGCTTGTGCTTCGACATCGAGCCTTTCGGGGGACAAAGATCGCTCTAGTGGTCTCCGGCTGGGCCAGAAGGACATGGGGGATCCAGGCTCGTGGGCTTGACCAGGCAACCATTAACCCTCTTGCCAACCAGGAATTTACTGCCTGTTCCACTGGGCAGCAGCGGTCCTGGAGTCAATTTTCCAAGAGAAGGATTGATTGAGGAAACCATTGTTCAGGCCCAGACTGTAAATTTTTTAAAACAGCCCTGTCCATGGTGACAGATGGCTCCAGGAGGCTCACGGGAGCCAGAGAAAGTGACAGCCCCGGTCTCTGGTTCACCTTATGTGACTCTGCCTCCTTCCAGGATCTCTCTCTGAAAACCTATTTTTGCAACTGATTTAAAAAAAGACCCATGTGCACTTTTTTTTTCACATTGGGTTCTAGCCATGGTACCAGATGAATCATCAGAAGTCCAAACCTGGGAGGGTTTCGTGGAAGAATATAATTTTGGAACCAGGAAGGTCCCTTGAGAACGTGAGTGCAGTGCGGTCCAACAGAAATACACCGCGAGCCACGTGTGCAAGGTCACGTTCTCCTGCACACATACTGAAAGAGTGAAATGCAACTGGTGGAATTAATTTCAATAATATATTTTACTTAACCTCATATAGGCAAAATACTATCATTTCACCATGCAATCAATGTAAAAACTATCTCATCACCTTTATTGAGACACAACTTACATACCATAAAGTTGCCCATTTAAAGTGTACAGTTAAATGGCTTCTCATACATTTATAGATTTGCGTGATCACCATCATAATCTAATTTTAGAATATTTTCAACAAAAAGATCCTAATGTAAAGTACAGGGAACTATATTTACTATCTTGTGATAACCTACAATGAAAAAGAATATATATATATACACACACACGTGTATAACTGAATCACTTTGCTGTACACCAGAGGCTAAGACAACACTGTAAATTGACTATACTTTGATTTACAAAAGAATATTTTCATTACCCTCAAAAGATGCCACGCACCCATCAGCAGTCACTCTGTTCCCCAACTGCGCAGTCCTGGGCGACCACTCATCTACTTTCTGTCCCTGCAGATCTGCCCGTTCTGGACGTGGCCTATCAGTGGGATCACAGACTATGTGGTCTTTGGGGACTGGCTTCTTTGGCTTCACACAATGTTTTCAAGGTGCATCCATGTTGCTGCAGTATCAGGACTTCATTCCTTTTAATAGCTGAACGGTATTCTATTGTGCGGATAAAAATTAACAAGCAACTCTTTCACACTCTCTTTTTGTATTAAGCCTTCAAAGGCCGTTGGTCTTGTACACACAGCATGAGTCTCACTTGGACAAGCCACATTTCAAGTGCTCAGTGGCCACCGTGTGGTTCACGGCTTCAACATTGTTGCATATCCAGTCCTCTCTGTCCGGGAAATGAAATACAGCCATGGAAGGACAGTGACTTGTCCACGGCCACACGCTGGTCAGTGGCACATCTGAGTTTGTACCCAGGCGTTGGGCTCGTCTGATGGCACCATGCTCCCTCCTCACTTACGCTTTGGGCCACGTAGAGAGGATGAAGACGAAAAACAAACAGGCTAGACAGACATCCACAGAAGCCCGGTCTCCCTCCTCAACAACACTCCAAACCTGGTTGGCTGTCATTCTGTCTTCAACCATGGGAACACGCCCAGTGGGGCGAGGGCGGGGCACCCAGCCACAATCACCCTAAAGAAAGCACCTCCCCAGCATCCGGACCAGCTGACCCCCATCAGCGGCAGCCGATGAGTCACTAAGAATAAGCCACTCAACCTCCCTGAGACCCCTCCGACAGAGGGACGGGACGTACATCCCTTACTTCACGGGCGCTCACGAGAGGAGACGCACACTCAGCTGGGGAGCAGAGCCTGCTAGGTTAAGGGGAGTCAGTGAACTTCCAGCCCCACCCAGGGAATCAGAGGCACTTACTACTGTGGACAGAGCAGAGCACGGCATCTTCCGTAGACACTACGGCCACAACAAAAGCCAGTGCTTCTCTCACAGTCATAATGCACCACATAGTCCTCTAAGTGGTTTATATAGGGTAGCTTTAATTCTCACAACACTTTGGTGGAAATTTTTTAAAGTATAGTTGATTTACAATATTATATTAGTTTTAGGTGTATAACATAGTGATTCAGTGTCTTTATAGATTATACTCCATGTAAAGTTGTTGCAAAGTATTGGTTATAGTCTTTGTGCTGCACGATGTAACTCTGTAGCCTACTTATTTCATACATAGTGGTCTGTACTCTTAATCCCTACCCCTGTCTTGCCCCTCCCCTCTCCCCATTGGTAACCACTAGTTTGTCTATCTGTGAGTCTGTTTCTGTTTTGTTACACTCATTCGTTTGTTTTACTTTTTAGATTCCATATATAGGTGAGAACATACAGCATTTGTCTTTCTCCATCTGACTTATTTTATTAGCACAGGACACTCTAGGTCCATCCTTTGTTGCAAATGGCAGAATTTCATTATTTTTTATGGCTGGTGATATTCCATTGTGTGTATATGCCACATCTTCTTTATCCCAGTCATCTGTAGATGGACACTTCGGTTGCTACCATGTCTTGGCTGTTGGAAACAGTGCTGCTGTGAGCACGGGGCTGCGTGTGTCTTTCGGAATTAGTGTACTCGTTTCTTTGGACAAACACCCAGGAGTGGAATTGCTGGCATCACACTCCCTGACTCCAGACTATACTACAAAGCTCCAGTCATCAAAACAGTGTGGTACCAGCACAAAAACACGGATCAATAGAACAGAATAGAGAGCCCAGAAATAAATCCATGCACCTACGGTCAGTTAACCTACAACAAAGATTGTACAATCTTCATATAAGATTATATGAAGGCAATCTCTTCAATAAGTGGTGCTGGGAAAACTGGACAGCTACATGTAAAAGGATGAAACTAGAACATTTTCCCACACCATGTACAAAAATAAACTCAAAATGCATTAAAGACCTAAATTTGAGACCAGAAACTATAAAGCTCAGAAGAAAACATAGGCAGAACACTCTTCCACGTAAATCACAGCAGTATTTTTTTGGATCTGTCTCCTAAGTCAAAAGAGAAAAAAGCAAAAATAAACAGATAGGACCTAATTAAACCTGAAAGCTTTTGCACAGCAAAGGAAACCATCAGCAAAACAAAGAGACAAGCTACTCACATAGGAGACAATACCTGCAAACGATATGACTGATGAGGGGCTAATATCCAAAATACATCAACAGCCCGTATAACTCAATATCGAAAAACAGACAACCCGATTGAAAATGGGCAAAAGACCTGAACAGATGTGTTTACAAAGAATGTATACAGATGGCCAACAGCACACAGGAAGATGCTTGACATCCCTGATCATCAGAGAAATGCACATCAAATGCACATCAAAGCCACAGCAAGATGTCACCTCACACTTGTCAGAATGGCCATCATCAGAAAGTCTACAGATAACAGAAGTCGGCTCACATCCTGTTGATGAGAATGTAAACTGGTGCAGCCACGGTGGAAAACAATACGGAGGAGCCTCGCAAAACTAAAAATCACAACAAGACAAGAGATTGCATTTGAAGATGAGAAGACTGGCACAGAGAGGTTAAATAACTTGCTCATGGTCGCAGAGCTAGGAGGCAGCACAGCAGACATTTGAACCCAGGCAGTGGGTCCCAGAATCCAGGCTTCTGACGCCATGCTGCCCTGGAGAAACCTGGGACATCCAGGGAGCCCAAGTCTCTCCCCACAAGTCTCCTCCTCCTTGCTGGCCCCTGCAGGCCTCTCCGCCCCGCAGCACGGTCTCTGGAATCACGCCTTCCAGCTCCAGAGAACATTAGCTGTGGCCACTCCTGCCCAGATCTCCCATGCCAGAGGCATGAGTCAGGAAGACAAAAAATTAATAATAATGTTCCTTATGAGTTATTATTACTTGTCATCACGCTTGTTGTACGAGCCACAAGGGTCTGGATTTATTAAATTGGAAGGAGAGCTGCTGAGTTTGTTGCTGAGGAATGACAGACTCCGCAACACTTGGAGTCACTGCTGTTGTCCCCAAAACCATGCTCCCCACCCCGACCCGGCCGTCTGAAATCCCAGCCCAAGGCAGCAAGCAGCCCAGTGCGTGCGGGAAAGGCGGTTTCCCGCAGGTGAACCCTCTCACCTGACCTGGCCTGGGACCCTCCAGGGGCATCTGGGGTGACCACACAAGGCAGTCAGGCCGCTGGGTGTCCAGGTGGCGGGTATCAGGCTGTCCCGGCGACCCCACCCTGTAGGAGGGCACGCTGGGATGGCAGAGGCCAAAGGGCACAGTCCAGCTGGAGACTGCCAGATGGGTGTACTTCGGTTCATACCTTCATACCATCTTGTAAAAGTTCCCCAGTTTTATGTAAAAAGCCAGATTTCTAGCTTCTTTTGAAAACCAGAAGACATGGCAGGAGAGGCCTGAGTCCCTGGCGTACAGGCACTGAGGGGAACGCCTACCGCCCCCTCCCCTCTGGACAAGGAAGGTTCCCCTGCACGCACCGCAGGCCCCACCGCTCCCTCCCGCCTCTCACCGGGCCCGCGCCATCGACACAGAGCATGCGCACTGGCCCGGCCGTGGGAGGCCGGTGCTGGGGCCCCTGGCCTGTCAACTGCACGTTCCTCCCCTGCAGCCACACTCACCCCACTGGGAGCTGTGGTCCCTGCACCCCTCCCGTGTTGCGCCGACACCGTCCATCTCCGCACTCGAGCCCCTTCCCTTCTCGGCCCTCCCACTTCCCGGTGCCCATGCTCGTGTTTGATTCTGGAATGTCGGGCCCTGTGTCTCCCTCACACGTGACTGCCTCGTCCCTCCACCGGTTCCAGAAGCTCCCTGAGGAAAGGAACATTTTGCATATTTTCCCGGCTCCTCTTCCTGCCAAAGTGGGCTGGGCCCACAGCAGGCGCTCAACAGGGGCGACGTGGCATGAGACTGACGGGGAACCGAGGAGGCCCAGGGGCAGCGCTGGGCGACTTCGCGCAGCTTCTAGCTGGTCGAACGTGTACAAGGCCTTGGAAGGTCACGGGGGACGGACAGACGTGGTTCCTATCAGTAAAGATGCCGACGACTGAAAACTAACAACCATGAGGCAGTTAAAGAAGCGAACACCAGAAGAAGTGGCTTAAGGGTCTGGGAAACACGGAGGACTCCAACCTGACTGCTCAGAAGAGCTCAGGCCCCGAGGGTAGCTCTGGGGCCGCCAGGGGGGCACTTGGCACGGGGCTCACCAGCACGTGCCATGCATGCCTTCATCAGACCTTGCAGTCCGAAACAGCTCCCTGCCTCTCTTGTAGTGGGAACGCCTTAAAAATGACTGATTCCTTAAACCAGCAGTGGCAGATCGTTTCTGCTCAACACGTGGAGTCACTGTTTGAATTTCCAGGACATGACCTGGGCCCTGGGACACCCGGATGGGCGCCCTGGGGATGTGAAGCTTCAGGTCTGTCCCCTCTCCACCCACTCCTACAGGGAAGGGCGGATGAGCCCACGGCCCATCAGGGAAATGCTGGGGTG